TTACAAACCAGAAGGGAGCCAGACTGAATGCTAGTTTGAAAAAAGAATGGCTAAATGGCATTGCACAGTAGCCTATGTGACATCAACAAAATGCAAAGTAATTTTGCAGGAGAGCAAGTCATTACATATTATATGTGGTGAAAGATTATGAAAACATATTTTCTTGGAAATGTTACGCACTGATGAATCATTCGCAAAAATAACAGGAGAATCCATTAAGAAAGAATATATATTTGGGTGGATAATTAATTGTGGATGCATGTTTCCACTCTCCACTTTTTAAAATTATTTTTGGATTACCTTTGCCATCCTCTACAGCACACTTAAATGTAATCATTAAAAACACAAAACAATTTAATAACGCTGTTAAATATAATATTGCAAATTTTAAAAATAATATGCATTTTTAACTTTATATTATTAAGATGCATTATAATATTGAGTTCACTTGTAGCATTTAAGACAGTTGATAGTTTTTAGTCATTTATTTTTATTTATTCATACACAATAGTAGGGGTGCGCCGATCCGATATTCAGTATCGGTATCGCTCCGATACTGGCATTTTCTGCTGGATCGGGGTATCGGTCAGACGAGACCGATCCAAATCCGATATTGTGCATATACTATTGTGTTATTGTTAAGCCCCACGAAAGGCACAAAAACATTATAAAGTACCATAAAGTTTCCGTGCACTATATTTCAAGTGTTCTGAGACCGTTCCATAGTTTAATGTGAGGTACAGATGAATATTTAAGTCATTAAATTCAAGTTCGCATAAACTCTTCTCTCCGCTGCGGCTGTCAGTCATCCTTCATTCAGCATTCAAACTGCTCGTCGCGTTCGGTTATGATAGTCAAGACGACGAAACGCTCTCTAGGATGATACAATGTTCCTATTATTATACTTGATCTGTAAACTTTTCTATGCGGAGCGCTGCGTGCTGTGACTCCGTCTTGCTTCTAGCGCATCATTCTGCGCACGGGATGCGCATAAGCGATCTGTGCCGCTGTGTATTGGAGCCTTTCATGTTATAATACTTTTGCGCAATGAAAGATTGTTAATAGCCTTTCTTGTTCTGTCTTATCTATCATATGTTGCTGCCTCCATTGCTGTGCTATAAATGTAAAAGAAATGTATTTGATTTATTGCATATATTTATATATAATTATATTTACTTGTTTTTCATGAATGTATATTACAATACAAAGAGCAATGTGTAACATTTTACCAGATTACACTTATTTACTTTTATTTTTCCTCCACTAAATAATGCTTTTTTCTCTAAATGTTTAGATTTTATAAAATTATTGTGAACTCACCATTTTTGTAGAGTAACTTTTGCTGCTTAATTATCCAGTAACCTAGTTTATAATAGTATTTTTCTCATAGATTATGATTATATATTATATTTGTTATTTTTCTTTATAATGAAGTTGTCTATATTTAGTAGATTGTGTGTAATACACAGAGTGATGATCAGGTCAACACACACTGAGGTATAGAAATGTATATAAAAAAAAAACTGCTGGTATCGGATCGGTATCGGTATTGTCCGATACTCAGAACTTTTGGTATCGGATCGGTATCGGTTCTGAAAAAATGGTATTGTGCCACCCCTACACAATAGTAAATTGAATTAATAATAATAAAAAATAATGTTATTCAATGAACACTATTCATTACTATTTATTTATTTATTTATTTCACAAGCTAGTTTAGAATTTGATTATCGACCATTTATCGCTTATCGGCCATAACAATAATTATCGGTGTGTCAGCTAGAATTTGGTCTGGTCCATCTCTATAAATCACCATGGTGTATATCTAAAGTACCATGGTATTGCCATCTGATACTGTCACTGTTCCATAGTGCCGCCACAGTAGTTTTTGTAACGTTTTTCTGGCAGTTTCGTTCAGTTCTCCATTCTTCAGTACTGTTTCTTTTAGCGGGTGGTCTTGAGTGTTGGATAACCAGCGGCTGGCACAAATCCAGCTTCAGTCTGATCTGCAATGGCGCGGCGACCCAGGGTGCAGAGAAAGTTCTAAATGAGGTCTCGCTCTAATTTGTCATCCCTCCATTTTTGTATTATGTTTAGCAGGCACCATGTGGACAGATGATCTGGAGGAGAGGGAATGTGCGGCGGCGTTCCGTGGGTTCACATCTGGGAATGATTGTGTTCACATATGCAGTGCACATTGTTCATGTGGAATTGTTCTCGCAAACCTGGCGTACACATTCTTTTTCTCGAAATATTCTCACGATTTCGTAATTTCGTCCCGGTGACATTTCGTCTTGTACGTGATGCTCGATTGGACAGATGCAAGAAGTTATTGATTGTTTGGACGAAGTGATGAAACATGATGATGTTCACAGTTCCTATAGCAGAATTCTCCATGGTTTGAAACCTACAAACCGGAATAGTTTGGTGAACCGTATTTCTTTTTGCTGAACACATTGGTTTTGCTGGATAAGATAGTGGAGAACCAGGTTCTTGCTAGTAGTTATTCTAGTTTAAAATTGTCAGTAATTCTATTCTAGCTGTGGTTGGGCAGTCTGGTGTGGACAAACCAGCAAACCAGCCTCCAAAAGCAACATATGCTAGTCTTTTCAGCATGATAATGTTCAGTAAGCTTCTAAGCATATAGATAGGGTGATTATAATATACATTTATACTTATTTAACTACTGTATTTCGATCATTCCCCATGGTTTCCCTTCAAGGGTGAGTGGATTCCCGGTGGAAAAGTCCCACAATCCTGTTCTTGACAAATCTTCCCGCGTCTTTGCCAGCTCTGGGTTTTTGAAGTGTGTTTTTTTTAGCAAATCTCCAGTTCCCCAATGGCTCCAGTAGAACACTCCAGAAACCCTCAGTGGTAGCTCAGCAAATCCATTTCATTTCCGCCCAGCAGAGCTCGTACTATCATCCCTCTGTAGTCGGCGTGTGGTATTAAATATTCATTTCATTAATGTCAGAGGCATATCAACGCAAATCTCATTTTAATTTGACATTACCACATCTGTTTCGAATTTCTGTGAAGCGTAAAGTTCTGCATAATTTTGGAAACTGAACAGCCACTTTTGGGTTGCCATGTTCAGGACTATGTGAGGATTTGGATGGCAGTGAAGAGTGAAGAGCGTAGTTTGTGTACAGACTTGAAACTGTTTATACACAGATGAATCAGTATAATTTGGTATGAGATCCAGCTCATTCAAAACTGGTATGGCCTATATTTTAAAATTAGTCATGAAATTAGAGGTATTTTCACACAGTTAAACAGAATAGTTGCTTTTAAGCTTCAAAAAGTATGCAAAAAAACATAAAAGTATGAAAGTAATCATGACTTGTGTAGTATAATCCAAATATTCGTGTAGATGTTCTTCAAAAATGTATCATTTGTGTTTCACAGACAAAAAAAGGTTATATTACTTATTTTTGGTTAACTGTCACTTTAAAGTGAAGTGCTTGGCTTCTCTCTCTCTTACCATCACTCTTTCTGTCTCACTTCAGTGGTTTATATCATTTCCAGGACTCTATTCCCATTTTGTAGACACATGTTCAGAACTTGACTTATGTACACACACACACACACACACAACTTTCCCCACAAGGCCCTGTTAGAAAGTGAGCAAGTTATCAAGTTTCTCAGCTCAGGGTGCAAATCAAGCGTGGGTTGGTTTCGCACAACTGTGCAAACGCAATCCAAGTTTGTTGGTCCGGTGCAAAAATCAGAATCCCAGAGCTGATCCACGGACAGCAAACAAAGTTCACATTAGACACTGACCCTCATCTCTCTCCACCGGCCAGTGATCTTCTGCTGTATACATGTGTCTTTCCTCTATAGACTGCCTAATTATGCCGGTCGGGGAAACCGAGATGCCTGTTGAAATCCATGGCTGGAAGGAATGATTTGCTTGAGAGATTGTTACAGAGAAATGATGGAAAAAGAGAGAGGGAGAGAGAAGGAGAAGAAATTATTTCCATTTCTTTCAGGGAATCACCTCTTTTCAGAGGGGTAAAAGGGGACTTTTACCTGCTGTGACATTACAAGCAGTAGAAACTGGAATCATATGGCCAATTATGTGCTTAAAGTCTTAAAGGAATTTGGAGGCAGTCAGGAGTTCAGGTTACCTTGAGCATCTCACTTTGATCTAGCGCTGAGGTTAATCGAGCCGACAGGAACACGTTCAGGGGCGTGAGAGCCGAAAGATGTTTGCGTTTATCAACTTACATGTACCTGAAATGAAAAGTGCAGAAATACTGATATATGTAACATTTATACAATTACAATTATTTATTCATTAAAATATATTTAATTGACTAATATATATATAATGTGCACAAAAACAAAAAAGCAAATGTGGTCCATTTTGATTTCACATTGACTTTAAATTACCCCACAGGTTGGCAGCTTGACTAGGTTTTGGAAAACATCACATTTCAAGTTGCTATGTTTCAGCACATGTGCTTTTCCCATGTCATGTGTATATAATTTAAAGCATTGGACTAATCTAATGTGCTGCTGTACAGTATCTACATGACACTGAAAGGAATGTTGTCTCGGATTAATGGAAACGCTTTAAGTGAATCCATCAGAAGGCTAACAGGGTTGACTAACATGCTTAGGCTCTGGAATATACAGTGCGTTCGTGTGAGCAGATATTAGACGTTATCGCGCACTTGAGCAGTGGTTTAGATGAATGTTCATTCTTCACTGCTCACTTGTGTCCTACATTAATATCACTTACATGCAGGAAGAGCACTTTATGTTTCAAACCCTCCTTTGTGCCTTTTTAGCTACTGTAAACAAAAGGTTTAGGTTTAATCGTTGTATGTTTGAAATAGATTAGAGGTGGTTTGCACTGGGCAAAAGTAGAAACATGTTCCTCTGGTGGTTTCTAATTTGTTATTCCTCTCTTCTAAACATTTGCATGAATGGTTTCCTGATAGAAATGCTGTTCATGTTTCTAATATCTCTTTTTCTTTCTCTCTTTTCATCAGTTCTTCGAGATGATTTCAGACAGAACCCTGTGGACGTGATGGTGGCGGCGGGTGAGCCAGCGGTCATGGAGTGCCAGCCGCCCCGTGGGCACCCCGAACCCACCATCTCCTGGAAGAAAGATGGAGTCACTATAGACGACAGAGACGAGAGGATAACGGTAAGGATATCTGACAGTGTTTCCAGCTTTCTAGACTGGTTAGTACTGGTATGGTGCTCATCTAGCTGGGGGAAGAGCCTTATTTTACACTGGCTGGTTAAAGGGATAGTTCACTCAAAAATAAAAATTTAGAGGAGTTTGTTTCTTCATCAGAGCAGATTTGGAGAAATTAAGCATTATATCGCTTGCTCAACAATGCATCCTCTGCAGTGAATGGGTGCCGTCAGAATGAGAGTCCAAACAGCTGAATAAAAAACATCACAATAATCCACAAGTAATGCACACAAACTTCTTGATATATTTGTTTCTTACAAACACGCAGCTTTTCACTTCGTAAGACATTAATTGATGGAGTGGAGTGTTTTGAATTACTTGTGGATTTTTGTGACGTTTTTATCACATCTTATTCTGACGGCACCCATTCACTGCAGAGGATCCATTGGTGAACAAGTGATGTACTCTGATTTCTCTGAATGCATTCAGATGAAGAAACAAACTCATCTACATCTTGCATGGTCTGAGCATGAACAATTTAGATCAGCTGACAGGATTTCTGGGATACTAGAAGTTTCTGTAGTCCCACCACAAAATTGATGATTTAAACAAAATTACAGCTTAAATAACACTTTTTTTTTGGAAAACTTAGTGTAAGTGCCTTATTAAAATGATGGGCTTCACATTTCAGCCTTGTTTTTGCAAATTAAACCAGGTCCCTTCCTAATTTCCAATTTAGCGTTACTAACGAAGACCTGCTAATTGTTAATAAAAAGAGACACAGCAAAAAGAAGTTCTATTATTTAATGCAGGTGGATAACAATTGCTTCTGCTGCATTTTTCAAGCAAATGAAGGCCGATTAGGGCTTCTGCTGATGAGTGTTTAAACTGCGTCACGTCCGACTCTGTCAGGGAAAATTAATGGAGCCCATTCATCTGATTGGAAATGCATGTGGGAATGAAAGTTTGCCTTCGCCAGCGTTCACGAGCTGAAAACTTGCTCTCTACTGATTTAATGCTTTAAACCAGGGCCACCAATTAGGTTTTTCTAATTAAATGTGTGGGAAATTAAGTAACGGGATCAATCAGGCCTCTTTTGTCGTTAAAAGAGTGACTTTGATGTGCACGCCGCTGCTCGTTTTCCATGTGATGTATTTGTGTGGAATAAAGCTAAAGGTGGTTTGGGGGGTTTGTTATTTTTAATCAAACTGTAGACAGGGTTCCTGAGAATACAAATTTAGTGCTTAACATTGGCTAAAAAGGCAAAGAAGTAATGTGTCACGCATTCCAGCGTTCGGACAATGTGTAACTAAGACGTTTTTGGAATGCGATAGGGCTGATTACGATAAAACTGAATCAAAACTAGATCAAGTTTGTTGTTGTTAGTGCTGTGTATGTGTGTGTGTGTGTGTGGCTTATCTCCAGTCTGCAGTCTACAATTTTGTAGGCAGTAAACTATGGTCATCTGACACACACACACAACAAAACACCACAGTAACAAACACAACAATGTATATACAAAATATTCTCTTACACCGTGTCCTAACTACACACGATGCAAAAAGATTCCAGCAACAAGCAATTTAGCTGTCCAAACCAAACACGACACGACAACTCAACATGACAGAATCAATCAAATATCACAGCCAATCAAAAGCGTGTGTGGGCGGGCTCTCTATGGAAGCGCACTGCACTCGCAACAAAATTGATAAGCCTATAATCTAATTCATAAATATTAAACCTTTTTAACATTATTAAATGTACTTACTGAGTGACTGGAATGCACTTGTTGTTTTAACGTATATCTTTGCTTTAATTTATTTTCAAGATCAAGTAAGGTCAAATAAAATGATATTAAAACTCACATTAGACACGTTTAACTTTGAATAAAGCACATAATCAGTAGCTGAGATGATCACTTTCATATAGTTTGCATGTTGTTGTTCCAGCCACGAAGTCACAGAAATAGAAACCGTTTCTAAAATAGAAATTTCGCGTGTCGCTGTCGCAGCTAGTTAGGACAAAAACTCTGATTAACATTTTAACATCTACCTTTTATTACGTGTTGTGGCAAAATTTTATACTGAAAAAAAAAAAAACTTTTACATTAAAATACAAAAAGCTGAAATATTCTCAGCTAAATGTGCTCAGTAATCTATATATAGAAAGTATATATATATATATATATAAAAGCCAGAAATGCCAGTACAACAAATACTACCTCACAATTAAATAATATATTTTAATAATATATTTTACATTTAAATTTTTAAAATAATTAATTTTTTTTAACAAAACCTAAGAGCAGCCATTACGAGAAAGAGAATGGGGGAGTGTTTAGATGTACAAATAGTGTAAATATTTTGTTGTGTTCCTGTAAGAATCATTTGTGTCTTTTTTTGTTTAGTGACAATGCATTGCACAGCAATAAACTGATATCCGTTGGAACATTGGCTCAAAGACAGCTCTGCGTACAATAATGAGCATCGACATTATTCATTTGTTTTGCGTTCCACTGTTATCTCTAAATTAAGGCGCTCCAATTTGGCCTTTAATTGCTTTTCAGCAGTAATTGCTGCAGTCTGCTCGAAAATTAACTGGAGCAGTGCGGCACATTGAAGCTGATGCTCCGTATTGTTTCGCAGCGTTTTGTTCGGAGTTTGTGTGTGATTATCTGGCCTGCTGAATGACTCCACACTGCGAGCCCTGTATGAGCACTTCTGCTCAAGCAGTGCTGCCAAACCACACAAGACAAAAGGCATGCAAATAAAGCAATCCCCCAATGCTCAGATTGATCGCATCCTCAGCAGCCGCCCTGCTGTTACCCGAGGACAGAGGGAGCGAGGGAGGGTTCATTGACTCTGGACCGAGAGTGAAACGATCCTGCCGTGATGGAACTCCAAATATGTGTCTGTGTGAGCTTGGGATGTTTGGGTAGTTGCATTACGAAACCTAGCAAGCTGCCTATCTAGACAACAGTTTTTATGTTTCATGCCTAACACCATATGTATATTTAACAGATAAAGCACAATGCATTTCATCAGGCAGCTCACTATCTTTTGAAATGGAGCTCAAGTTTTTTCCTGAGGCACATTCTCACTTTTCCTTTGGTTTCAGCCTTTTTTTCACTGTATATTCTTCCAAATGCACACACACACACACACACACTTACTCCTCCGTCTGACCCGACCTTGTCTGCACTGCGAGTCTTGTGCCGTTTCAGCCGTTAAGCTCTCGCTCAAACAAACAGTAACATAATGACACTTCAAACCCTCTCCAACACCACGGGGTGCCTTAAATAAACTCGCCCTCCTTCCTTCCCCTCCGACCTCTCCTTTGTTTAAAGACTCTTTTCCACCATTAATATTTAGGAGAGGCGACAGGACTGAAGAATGCTTCAGAATGTGTCCGGTTTGGAAGTGCTCAGAGACGTCTCATGAGACCTGGTGAAGGATTCGTTTAGATGTTTGTTGTCCTTTAAATATAAATGACTGTAAAAGCAATCAGATTAAACTCTCATTTTACACCTCTGAGAGAGACTGTACACCAGGGTTCCTCAAATCTTTCCCTGGAGGGCCAATGCGCTGCAGAGTTTAGCTCCAAGCCCGATCAAACTCCCCTACCTATGATTTTCTAATGATCCTGAAGACATTGATTAGCATGCTCAGGTGTGTTTTATTAGGGTTAGAGCTAAACTCTGCAGGAAAGTGGATCTCGTGGGCCAGATTTGAGGATCCCTGCTGTACACTTTAATGTTCATTGATAGTATATTGATACTTTTTTGTTCGTTCCTTAGTGTCTATCTATCCATCCATCATTTTTTTGTAATTTCTTCTTAGTTTCCATCCGTCCATCCATCCATCCATCCATCCATTATTTCTTCTTTAGTTTTTTAGTTTCTATCTGTTCGTCCATCCATCTATCGTTTATTTAATATCTGTCTATTCATCCTTTTTTCTTCGTTAGTTTCTTCGTTAGTTTCCATTCATCCATTTATCCATCCATCGTTTCTTTTGTAGTTTCTGTTAGTTTCCATCCATCCATTTCTTCTTTAGTTTCTTTGTTAGTTTCTATCTGTCCATACATCCATCCATCCATCCATTTCTTCTTTAGTTTCTTTGTTAGTATCTATCTGTCCATCCATCCATCCATGTATCCATCCATATATTTCTTATTTAGTTTCTTTGTTAGTATCTATCTGTCCATCCATCCATCCATCCATCCATCCATTTCTTCTTTAGTTTCTTTGTTAGTTTCTATCTGTCCATCCATCCATCCATTTCTTCTTTAGCTTCTTTGTTAGTTTCTATCTGTCCATCCATCCATCCATTTCTTCTTTAGTTTCTTTGTTAGTATCTATCTGTCCATCCATCCATCCATGCATCCATCCATCCATTTCTTCTTTAGTTTCTTTGTTAGTTTATATCTGTCCATGCATCCATCTATCCATTTTTTCTTTAGTTTCTTTGTTAGTTTATATCTGTCCATTCATCCATCCATTTCTTCTTTAGTTTCTTTGTTAGTTTCTATCTGTCTATCCATCCATCCATCCATCCATCAATTTCTTCTTTAGTTTCTTTGTTTGTTTCTATCTGTCCAACCATCCATCCATCCATCCATTTCTTCTTTAGTTTCTTTGTTAGCTTTTATCTGTCCATCCATCCATCCATGCATCCATCCATCCATCCATCCATCCAATTCTTCTTTAGTTTCTTTGTTAGTTTCTATCTGTCCATCCATTCATCCATTTCTTCTTTAGTTTCTTTGTTAGTTTCTATCTGTCCATCCGTGCATCCATCCATCCATTTCTTCTTTAGTTTCTTTGTTAGTTTCTATCTGTCCATCCGTGCATCCATCCATCCATTTCTTCTTTAGTTTCTTTGTTAGGTGATATCTGTCCATCTATCCATCCATTTCTTCTGTAGCTTCTTTGTTAGTTTCTATCTGTCCATCCATCCATCCATCCATAGCTTCTTTGTTAATTTCTGTCTGTTTGTCCAGTTTTCTTCATTAGTTTCTTCATTAGTTTCCGTCCATCCATCCATAATTTCTTAGTTTTTGTTAGTTTCCATCCATCCATTATTTTTTCTTTAGTTTTTGTTAGTTTCTACCTGTCACCCCATCCATCCATCTATTGTTTATTTAATTTCGGTCTGTTCATCATTTTTTCTCCAACCATCCATTCATCCATCGTTTCTTCTGTAGTTTCTTTGTTAGTTTCCATCTGTCCATCCATTTCTTCTTTAGTTTCCTTGTTAGTTTCTATCTGTCCGTCTATCCATCCATCTATCATTTCTTTATTAATTTATGTCTATTCATCCATTTTTGTTCATTACTTTCTTTATTAGTTTCTTTGTTAGTTTCCATCATTTCTTAGTTTCTTCGTTAATTTCTGTCTATCCATCCAGCCATTCATCTATTGTTTCTTCTTTAGTTTCTTTGTGAGTTTCTGTCTATCCATCCATTGTTTCTTTGTTTTTGTCATTCTTTCTACAATTTAATCTCTCTGTTCATCCATTTATCATGAATTTCAAGATGTAATATCCCATTTTAGTGCAGACTTGAATATTGTTTGTGGCATTTGTGCACATGACCTCATAAGTGTAATATCTGCATCTAATTTGTAAATTATGGGATATACAGCGAATGCCTCTGGTCTTTATCACTGAGACTCTGTTTACACATTCCACATGTTAACCACAGTCAGATCCAACCGCTGGACTCAACACTGACCGCAGTGAATGCTAATCAATGAGACATGACATGATCTGCCATAAAGTGAACCCACATGTTGACCTGTGTAAGTGCAGGCAGGTAGGGGGCCGCAGGAGAGCTGCCACATTCTGCTCCCCCTCATTGACTCTCGCCGTGTGGTCCTCTGATGCAGGGGTCAGATGTGTTGTGTGTGTGTGTGTGATTCTGATCCGCTCAGGTGAATAAGGACCCCCAGCTGCCCTTACAATTGCCTGAGAAGAAAAAAAGGGCCTCTTTTGCCTGAAATCAGATGCCTGGGAAAATAAAAGCTCAGCTGAATAGCCACTACACAAATTTACACACACACTATATATATATATATATATATATATAGTGTAAAGGTTTTGACCTTTGACATTTGGACCTTCAACTATTTGCTCACATGGATGCACCCATGCACCATTTGCCAGTGCGCTATTGATACGTTGTATATTACCCATTACATTTAATCATTAAATGGTTCTATTAAGTTATCCTTCACTGATTATTTTTATAATCCTAGCCTTTTATTTACAGTAAAAACATTTTCTTTGGGTGAGGATATTTGTGTTTTAAATGTCATTTGCACATCCTGTCATGCCGGTGACGATGTACCACTGATGTGACACATCTAGCATTATTATGGTTAATGATTAATCAATTAATTGATCGTTAATTTCTCATATTTTCTTTCTGACAGATACGAGGAGGAAAACTGATGATCACCAACACCAGAAAAACGGATGCAGGGAAGTACGTGTGCGTGGGAACCAACATGATGGGGGAACGAGAGAGCGAGATTGCAGAGTTGACTGTTCTCGGTACGTTTTCGATATATTTTTGCTTTAATTTATGCATTTCAATATATGACATGTCTGATTCTCATGTCTAATCTGCCTTCTTCAAGATGCACATGTGTTTATATAATCAGGTTCCCACACAAACCTCTGGTGCATTCGATTGTGGAAATGCATGCAGACGGATTCATTTAAACACGCACACGTCGTATGAAGTGTTTGTTTATGGGCAGAGCAGGAGAGAGTCCAGATGTTTAGAGTTTGTGTGCTTAGCTGTAGGAAGACTCCAGCATGTCATTGACCCTGTTTAGGAGACATGGACCCATTATCCTCAGTCTGCCTTGAAACAAATACCAGCTCACACTTCACACACCCCTTCATTCACACATACACACAAAAATATACATTCATCTGTCATCCAACACCTTAACATATCAGTTTACACTACCCAACATCAGAGCTGTGACCTTTGACCTTCCCTCCTTAATCCCTGCAACACAGCCGAGTTAAATGTAATTCCTCCAAAAACACTTCCAGAAATCTCAGCAGATTTCATTTAAAATGGCAATAGAATCACAAAACACAATGCTGAAAAATAAGGACTGTTTTCGAACAGCTTGCCATTGGTCATTCTGAAAGTCCCGCCCCCAACTTAAGCCATTGGTTGAGCCATTGTTGATATGTTAATACATTTCTGAGATCGCAACCTGTGAATTACCGACTTACAGTAGAATCTGTATTAAGGTGACATGGAAGCAACTATAAAAAAAAATGACTCCCCTTAAAAGACTAATTTCTCATTTAATTCTGCTAATTTTCATAAATGTGTCAGCCATTTTCATGAATGACTCAATTTAATTTAATGCATCAGTGTTATTTTAGTTTTATTTGTATACAATGATAGAATTTATTCTATGTATTTATTTTATTAAAATTATTATTTAAATGAGTTTTTATTTATATGTTTTCAGTTTTCATTTTAATTGTAGTTTAAGTTGTACGTTGTAATATATATATATATATAAATTTGTAATTTTGAACTTAAACATTTATTTCAATAAGTTGCCAAGGCAACATTTGTCATTTTATTATTATTATTATTATTCTTTTTTTATATTTTGAGTTATTAAGTGTTTAATAATTTTTTTTTATTTATTGAACATTATTTAAAGGTGGGGTATGTATTTTTTCAAAAACGCTTTAGAAAACTGAGTTGGGCTGAGTACCAAAACAAACTTGTAGCCAATCAGCAGTAAGGGACGTGTCTACTCATGATGGGGACGAGAGAGCGCTCAGTGCACTGGACGGACATTAGCCGAGCCGAGCGACAGAAAGATAGAGATGGCGGATAAAAAACAAAAGAGGAAAACGTCTGCGGA